AGAACTCACACGTCCTGAAGATCAGAGTAGCAGAAATGAGGGTGTTGAGATGGATGTTTGGACATACGTGGAGAGATAGGATCAGGAATGAAGCTATTCGAGGCTAGGAGGGAGTGGCCTCCATGGTGGACAAGATGAAGGAGGGAGGCTGATATGGTTCACGTATGTGAACAAAAGATGCATAGATGCCCAACGAGGAGGTGTGAGAGGTTTTTTGAAATAGTTTTGGGAAGCAGTGATTAGACAGGACATGACTCACATGTATCTTACCGAGGACATGACCCTAGATAGGAAGATACGGAGGTCGAGAATTAGGGTAAAAGGTTTGGAGGTTGTCAAGCACTGTCTAGTTCCTTATGTATCTTACCGAGGACATGACCCTAGATAGGAAGATCTAGAGGCCGAGGATTAGGGTAAATGGTTTGGAAGTAGTCGAGCATTGTCTAGTTCCTTCATTAGTATTGTTATTATTACTCTCCTATCTTACTCTTCGATTTTAGTACTACATGTTGTTTCCTTTGCATTAGTTACCGTATTATTTGTTGTTGCTACTTATTCTCTTCTTAATTGTTTTCTGCATGACTTCTCCCTATTGTATTTTCTTTACATACTTGATTTATGATTTTTGAGCTGAGGGTCTTTCAGAAACAACCTCTCTACCTTCACAAGGTAAAGGTAAGGTTGCGTACACACCACCCTCCCCAGACCCCACTTGTGGATTATACTGGCATGTTGTTCCCACTTTTTATTAGCTCCCCCTTTTTCAATAACATATACCTTGAGTAAACTAGTCTTTCAGTTTTTTCACTCTGATATCATGGTTATAGCTGGTGAATTGACTCCTGGATAAATGAAACTGTATGTATTAAATAATTAGCATGACGACTATTCCAAGTCATATATTTTGTCATCATGATAATGTTATATCTAATCCGTTATTGCAATGGATTACTTGAAGAGTTGCTGCCTATATCTTCATGATGTACCAGTAGACAGCAACAAGGTTTTGTTTCTAATGGTTTTGGAAGATAAGGAATTGCAGGAAATACTAATATTCTTAAATACCAGGTCTATCTAGTGGAGTAAGTCTATCTTAATAATATTACTACAGTAAAAGAGCTTGCAATTCTAAAGCAATTATTCAACACTCTTCCTTGCTAGCAACTGTAAAATTTTGAACTTCAATCTTGAAATCTTCACACTTGATAACCGAAAGTGACCTTGTCGCTAAATCTGCAGATTCTTCTTTGGACTTGTAGTGATCTAAATTCACTTATCGACTTGAATGCAACCCTTGACTACTAAATCTTTTTGGCATGTCTTCTTTCTCCGTTAGCGTCTTCACGTTAAACTTATCCATTTTATTTTCCTGAACATAGACAACTCCTCCGTTGCTTCAATTCTTTTGGGAACATTGAAAGCTTCTTTAAGCCTAGCAGGTTCACATTTTGCTTGTGCTTTTTCAATTGGAAGATCATCTTCTAATTTTTTTCTGCCTTTGATCTTTTGCATGTTCTACAGGAACATCTTCCATTGGATCAAATGAGAAATGTTTTCTTCATCTTAAATTTTTAACATTTCTTTTTCAGTATCATCACTGATGAAGCAATGTTTATCCTCAAAGGATACTTTGAATCCTTTATCTACCAACTGACAAATACTCAACAAATCTGATCAATATGAGGTTACATATAGAACATCTGAAATTGTCTTATTACATCAACTTGTTTTGATGATGACAATTCCTTTTCCTTCAACAAGAATTTGGTCTCCATTTTCGATCCTAAACTTTGGAATTTCAGTAGGCTAGTTCCTTGAACAAACTCTTGTCGTAAGTCATTTGGTTAGTGCAACCGCTATCAGTTAACCATTTTTTTTTTTTGGCTGAAACCTTACTTGAGATGTATGTTGCAACAAAAAGATGGTCTTCTTCTTCTTCTTGATTGGCGACACGTGCATCTGTTTCATGGTTCTTAGATTTATTTTTGCAAATCATTGCTTCATGACCAAGCTGATGGCACTTGTTGCACTTCACCTTTCGGCCTTTTCCAACATCTGAGTGGTGGATGATCCATTTTTTCCAGTGCTCACAAGGTGGGTAATTTTTTAAATTTTACCCCTGCTCTGAGTTTTGTGACTGTCGGCTAAGGCTCTTTCAACCATTCTATCTTGCCTCATAAGTCTCCTTTGCTCCTGTGCCTGGAAAGAATTTATCAACTTTGCCAAGGTAATCTTGGACAGATCTTGTGTTTCCCAAGGTCTATACATGACTCATCATTCGGGTACTGTTACAAAATTAAAAAATTCCGACAAATCGTGAATCTTTAAATTTAGTGCCTAGCAGTCTTACCTTGTTAATAATGCCAAGTGATATGTTTGAGTATTCTTTGGTTGTATGAGAATCTTTCATTCTCTGGACTCGAATCCCCTTATTAAATTCAATACTTGCATCCCACGTGTTCATTCATCTCTAGCTTATTTTTTCTTTAGATAATCCCAAATTTCCTATAGTGATGTGAGAAACATAATTCTCGTGAAAATAGTTGTTGAAACAGCAACAAACAGAGTTGCTTTCGTCTTGGACTTCATGGGTTTTTTTTTTTCCTTGTCACTCTTAATTTGGGCTATTGTGGGATTATTTGGTAGCGGATTAATTTCATAATTCTCTTCCACGAGTCCCCAAAGATCAAGGGCCTCCAAGTAAGTTTTCATTCGCACAACCCATAATTGATAATTTTCACCGTTGAAATAGGAGGAGCCATTTGTGAAAAAACTATTTTCAAAATCCATCTCGTCACTCACTTGTCCCTCAAGAAAAATAGTTCTAGATACCAATGGTTTGTTTTGAAAGAGAAGAAATTGCAGGAAAATATTTAGGAGTAACGAAAGAGTAAGAACGGAGAACAACAAAAAAAAGAACTTATGAAATGAAGTTGAAAGTTCGATATTATTTTACTGCAATATAATACAAATTTATAATAGAATACTAACTTCAAAATCTAAAGATAAGCAAAAAAAAATCGGTTGAAAATAACAAACTTCTTAAGTCTTAAAAATGCTATTTATGCAAAATTCAAATAGAAATCAACTAGTAAATACTAGGTCTAATTAGTTGACTAGATCTATCTTAATAAGATTACTGCAGAAAAAGAGCTTGCAATTCTAAAGCAAATATTCAACATTTTCTGACATAGGAGAGCTTTTAATGTAATTTTATATGCATTGTGGCAGTTTTAAGGATAATCAAAAATTTGTTCGCACCATCATCTTTGGTTTCCTTATTATGCAAGTTGCGATCTAATATGTACTTTGCATGTTAGTGATGAAGGGATTGCTGCATTTTTGGAAGCTTCTGGAGCATGTTTGGAGGAACTTTCACTGAATAATTGCTCTAAGGTATACTTATTCCACTCTCAAATATGCTTATTAAGCCCAATGATATTGCTAGTTTCTTAATATATTTCTGTGTAGAGTTACTGAATAGTTTTAGATTCCTGAGTTGTACACAAGATTTAGCTGTTGGCCTGCATGTGTGGTCTTCTCTTACAATAGAAAGAGAGAGAGAGATCAATTCCTTGGGAATTGGTAAATAGCAGGGGAAAGTCATATAGTTAACTTTTCCTAAAAAGTGTTGGTTTCTTTTTGGTACTACCTGCTTTGTTAGTGACTGGTGATCTTTGACAGGTTAGCACTAGCACTGCCTTGTCACTAGCCAAACTTTCAAGAAAGTTACTGCATTTGGACCTATCATGGTGTCGCAGAATAAGTGACAACGAGCTAGGGCTGATTGTAGACAGCTGCTTGTCGCTCAAGCTACTCAAACTCTTTGGCTGTTCACAGGTATGCCTGGGCAACCCAATAGTTAACAAGTTTTTCAATTTCATTTTTGGCATTTTCAAGTGTTTACCTATTTGATGCACATTATCATTTTCTTGGCTCATATCCATGTATTACACTACTGTCTGCTATAGCTATATCACAAGAAATGGTTCTGGAATGATCTTTTCAATTAGCGGCACACCTTCTGAATTCACTAAATTTATTGGCTCTCTATGCTGGGGTTTCCTGTTCCAATTAGTTGGTGTCAGCATCAGTTGGCCAACTGTCACTTTTGCAATTATGATCTACAAAGTGAAAGGGATACGGAACAGATAAGAAAGGTGGTAGTTCTATGAGCGGAACTTGTCATCCATCATTTCTTACCTCATCCAGTTCTCTATTGTGCATTCTCCGTTTTCACTGTCGTCTGGTCCTTTCTGATTTAAGTCCTTATCATATTTACGATCTCTTTCTGAGGTTTCACTGAGCTTAGAACTGGGGTAGCATTTAAGAATCAGAGTGTTTGATAATTTGCAAAATCTTGCTTTTTCTTGCAGATAACAGATGTATTCAAAAATGGCCACTCAAACACTGTAGTGCAGATCATTGGATTGGGTATGACCCAGATATTTGATATTAGCAGGTTTGATGGCGTGGAAGCTCTGTTGAAATATTCACCAGTAGTGATGTCTTCTAATTCATGAAGGACACTTGACATGATGATTGACGATGCATCTAAAGATTCCTCAATGCACAGCATTGCACCTATTGGAACAAATAGAAATTGTTTTTTTTAGTTGTAATCTTTTCTTTGGAACAGCCTGTTCTTCCTTACTTTACAGGTCATACATGATCACTAGACTACAAATGGTTGCCAAAATCTGGCTACATAGGCTTATAGCAATACATCTCTTGTCCTCGATGTTATAGCTTGTTTCTTTCTGACAATAGATTACATCGAGTTGATTACTATGAAAGTTATCACCTTATTGCTAAATCATTCTTCAAGTCATCATGATTTGCTTGGTGCTCACTTCCAAATGCATTATGTCTTTGTAGATCTCTCGATTCAACTTATGAATTTGTGGCTGCTGCTGAACTAACCAGTTCTATATTGAAGGGGTGGGTAACATTTTACTCCCTGTGTCCCCCAATTCATGTGATACTCGTCTTTTTAGTCGGTCGGTCACAAAAAGAACGAGTAACTGTCTAATTTTAAACTAGTCAGTTTACACCTTAATGAGAGATTTATAGCCACAGAAATATCTATGGCTTATTGTGGATCATAAATTTCAAAAGTCTTCCTCACATTTTTAACTTTGTACCCGATCAAACACCTACACAAATTGGGAGAGAGGAAGTAATTATCTATGGATGTAGCAACTATCAAATACATGATTGCTTGATTCCTTACGGTCAAGAACGACAATGGTGAAATCAAGTGTTGAGTTGGTTTTACTTCAATTTTGTTGATGCTTTAGTCCGAAAAGTCTTTTTGCCCCCTTTTCCAAACCACGCATGAACACTAAACATACAAGGCACATATTTTAGCCCTTTTTTTATTCATGCTAGAGAGCTTTAAACTTCAAAACAAATGCAAGAACAAGGAGAAATATGAGAATCCCAGTGGAAGAACCACCAACCCTGTGAATCCAGTAAGGATCGAACCTGGTAAAGCTCTGATCCAAGTAGCATGACATAGCAATGGCAATGATGAGAAACAACATGAGCAATGGCAAGTAAGAAGATATGCCAAGTGATTGCTCTTCAAGCTCTGGATCGACTAACTTTCTCCTGTCGATGTACAGAGGTGAGAGTATGGCAACAAGTGTAAGACCTATGGCTAGAAGCCTATGATCATAGGATGAGAACCGGGCCAATTGATGAGAAATACTTATGCTCATGATGAGGGTGATCAAGAAGAGCAGTGGAAGATAGGGAAAGATGGTTTGTTCTTCAAGCTGGGGTTCAGTAGTGTTTTTTCTACTGTCAATGTATAGAGGAGAGATGACAGCCACAAGTCCAATGCCTATGGCCAAAAACCTCTTATCATTTGTAGGAAACCTGCCTCTCCTGCTTAAAGATTCCTGCTCCATTGAATATAGTAGTCACCAATGCTTCCTCAACTTAGACCTTTGATAGGGCCATTGGTTATTAAATTGTTTTTAATTTCTCAGAATCTTTTTTTTTTCTAGTGAATTCCCATCCCTTGTTATCCTTGCATCAAAAGTAACCCTTTTAGAAGAAAAAAGAGTGACCCTTTAGATTGAGGATATTTCCATAAAGTGAAAAAGTTGATATTCTTTTGGAAGATAAGGCAGCTACAAGTGGTGTTGTGTAGTTTGGCATCTGATTCTGGCTGCATGAACCTGGAATCTCTCTATTTTTACAAAGTATTAGTGGGGAACTTTTTCTTTTTGTTTATTTTGAGCCCATGATTTCACCAGCTTCATTGACAATTGCCACATCCTTAGGTTGCACATAAGTGCAAAACTATACTAGTTGCAGTTTATGAACTAGATTCCCATAAAAGGAATTGGGATGATGCTGTAAGCATGTAACCTACAGAAAATTAGCTACCAGAACTAAAGAGAAAGATTTTAGACAAGTCATCTACTAGGTTATCGGAGCCTCCAGCAAAAACATATTCACTTGATAGTGACATAACCTCCTATCCAAAAAGAAGAGAACAGAGCCAAAGATTATTAGTATCACCTCTCTTTAAGATATAAAAGCTACTTAACTGACGAAATTCTTTACATGAGAGTGATGAAAAGCTTTCTGGTTTACATGAAAAAAATAAATCCAATTTGTAGTACATTTTTACATTTTAATGTCAAATTGTAGTGTCAACAGAGTATGGCTTAGCATTTGGTGAATACATGAATGATGAGCAGAAACCAGCTTAACTTTCATCATCGGAAGTCTTTGACTTGTTTCCAGAAAGTCTCCTCATCCATTTCTTCTGCGATGTAGTAAGATGAAATATCGGTGCACCGTGTGGAGTATCTGATGATGCTCTCACAGTCGAGGATGGAAGTTCAGCAGGAAGTGCAGATGCAGTGCTGGTGAAGGCATTCAAAACAAGAAATGCCAATATAGGTGAAAGATCCAGAGTCCCTCCAAGTGGTGGAATAATCCCACGGAATATGTTCAAGTATGGGTCACATAGAGTGCTGACAAGGAATACAACATTTTTAACAATGTACGCGTTTCAGATTTCACACAAAATTGAGCCATTATTCTTAACAATGTATCCATTTCACACACAATTGAGCCAGATATTAAAGTAGTGGGATTCTGGAATACTCACCTGACTGACACCAGCCTCGCTAAGTGGTTAAAAATTACTTAGAATAAGGAAGTCCTGAAAACTACACTATCCACAGTTTATGAATGCTCAAATGAGAAGAATACACAGCTCAGCTTTTCTAAATACTTTGCATGATGTTGACCCATAATATTATAACAAAGAAGCAGGTCAACTGAGCAACAAGTACACACAATCTGCCCAAGGATTACTATTATTGTTTTTCTTTTAATAAGGCCTGGGAAGACTATTTATATAACACTGAAACTCCTAATCCTTCAATCTGATTCATCAATGCAAAGCCACAAACAGAAGACAAAATGTGCTGATATTGTCTCAAAAGTAAAATAAAAAACAATACAAGAATTTGTGAATTGAGTGAGGCAAAACACATTCGAGCTACCAATAAAAATTTGGTTATTAGTGTCTTTTCTTTTCCCGTTTTCTTCATGGATAATTAGCCATCAGTTTCATTGAAGTAAGAGGATGCCATTTTGATGCTTGAATTTTGAGGATTGTCACGAATCACTATTTAAAACTTTATCAATTTATTTCCTCAGCATATATGTCCCTAGTATGCAAAGTTGTCATTGCTTTAATTGATTATAATAAAGCATCATTTGAATCATAGACATTGTTGAACTATAAAGCATACCTGAGGGGACTGACAATGGCAGGAGGAGCATTTGGGAACCAGGTTAAAACAAGTCTGACAACCAGTAATGAATTGTAGATGTTCAAGAAATTTATAATTCCATTTGCAACAACAATTCCTGCAACTGAGTCACCAGGCAAGACAGCTGCAAAATTGTGATGGGACAGATTACCCAAGTTCTGGTAAGTCCTGCACTGTACCTGGAAGTAAATTCAGTTGAGGATACTCAAATTATTACACAGATAAAATCATATAAGGCAATAAAACAAGCCGAGAAACTTATCATTTCTCAAGTAACAAGAGGTCAAATTGTTATGTAAGTAAAGGAAGGGACATGAGAAGATAAAGAAATTAGAATATTTGCATGAAACAAACTTAGAAACTTCAAGAACAATGAATATAACGTTTCATCAGAGAACTTAGAGACTTTACGATACAGCTCACACGTTTTTACAAGAGGAATCAGCCAGGAGTTGTGAATTTGCAAATTGAGGGGAACTTGCAATGAGTCGAGTATTTCAAGATTCAATTTCGTTTTTCTAAAAATTGGGGTTAAACAATAATAAGTTGCCAGATCAGCTAAAAGCTTATGTATCAGTGATTTTTAACTGTTTCTCCTTTAAGATTTGGCTACTGGTAAGAACTTCTGAGTGTGTCCTAACAATGCTTGGAGAAATGAGTGTCATTCATCAAGAGGTTCTCATGTATACAGAATCCACACTAGCCTTTATATAACCTTCTTTTACTTGGAAAGAAGAACTGGAAATTTCTTTGACAGAGAAACTGACGGATATGTCCAACAAAGCCAACAAAACAACTGAGAGAATGCACATTTCACAAAATTTTCCTCCTAGTTCCTATTGCCAAACTGAGAATATGCTTTTATAAAAAAATGTAAAACATTTACAGTAGTAGTGAGTCTATACAGTACAATATTAATTCCTTACAATCCCTTGAGGAATATCACCCAATACATTTACAAAAAATATCATCTTTTGTGATAAACACTTTGAATTGTTTTACCGTAAGTGTTACATTATCAAGTACTATCATATCTCTATTTTGAATAGGATAATTATTTTCAAGTGTACCCACATTGCAACAAATATACAAAGCAAAATCACAAATATCATTTTTTTATCAGTCTAGAACAGACGAAAACAAATCACCTAGAATTTTTTTTTATCTCTAATGAGATTTGAACATGACGATTAGGTCACACGCTATTAAATTTGAGTAAAAGTTAATTGAAAGAGAAATCATAACATGAAAGTTGAATAAATTTGGAGATAGAAACTGAAATAAGAGAGAAGAGTAGGTACCTGAGAGAAATGTGAAGAGAAGTTCATGATTTTGTTGAAAAGGGGTTGAGAGGCAAGAAAAGAATGCAGCAAGGTGAAGCATTTCTCAGCTGTGGAGAGTAAGGAGTTGTGAAAATGAAGAAAGGCATTTGATGAAGTTTGTGCCAACTGTAGATTTGATTTTGGGAGTTGTTTGAAGAATGGAGGGGTTGAGAATGAGAAAGGTAGTGAAATTAAACAGTTTGACACTACACAATTTTGCTTCGATGTTTCAGCCATTGATTGCGATGAAGATTGAGCAACCATTGTTGAACTCAGCTTCTTCTTCTTCTTTAATCTTCAGTGCTAGGCTTAGAGGAAACAAGATAAGAAACGCTGTTTTAGTTTTATTTATTTACTTTGTTATTCTTTTTCAATTATTCCTCGGTTATTTATTTTTTAAAATCACAAATCCACCCAAGGTGACATATGGCCTATGGGGTTACGTATGGACTAAAATTGAATCATAATTAATAATTCAAATCAAAAAATTATTATTGGATTATTGATATTGGGATATGCCCTTGAATGAAAAAACTACATAATTAAACATACTTAACTATCATATATACATATATAGTTTAAAAATATTACTCATATTATCACTTTATAATAATTATACCATATATTTGAAAAAGTTAAATCAGATACACAAATTCATTAAATATAATATTGAATAGTTATCTTAAAATTTAAACTCCTTGATTAAAAGAATCTTAACAATTTAAACTACTTTCTCTCACATCTATTAAGTCATTTCCCCAATTAATGGTCCAATAATATCATCAGCTCCCCCCCTCTCCCCCCCCCCAAAACTCTTATGAACTGTATATCTCCCCTACCCCCACATTCTCCATCACCTTTACCATATTTTTCTTCCTTCATCCTCAATCTCCTGTGCCAAGTTTATCTTCTCATTCTTTTTCTTACTTCCTCCACCCTCATAGATCTTCTTCACTAAACCATCAAAAATTGAATTGAAAACGGAACAATTCAATCTTAACTGGCGATGGTGTTTCATCGTCGGAAACGGGGATGGATAGTACAACAACTACCGAAATCAAAAACAGGTTGTTAGAATGGAAAAAAAAAAGTTGAAAGGCAAGATCCAGAGCCATATCAGCGCTAGATTTCAGTTCCGGACTTGGTGAATTTACGATGAGTTTGTAGAGATACAATGTTTGTTAGACATAACTAAATGTTTTATACAATGTTTGTTAGACATATCTAAATGTTTTATGTATTTGCCCTCCATCTACGTATCTCTCTTTCTTCTATGTATATATCTTTATTCTATATATTTGTTTATATATTAAATATATATATATATATATATATATATATATATATGTATTTTCTATTAGATATATATGAGTTGTTTTATGTCATGTATATGAGAATGTTATTCTATGTATCTAAGATCTTTCTATCATGATCTAGTGTGTTTTCTTTAGTGTATTTGAGACGGTTCTGTCATGTATCTGAGACAGTTTTGTTATGTATTTAGTCATACTTCAAGAGATCGTTGTAGATCACACTTTTATGGAATTACGACAATCATAAATTCATTGTTGGCGCAGTTAGCGATAATAAAAACCCACCAAAGCCAAAATGCACATTTATCAAATCAAATTCCATTGAAAAGATTAGATACATACTTCAATTACATAACAAGTTTCAAATACATGTTATGGATCATATATACGTATATAGAAGATACATCTAATGAAATACATTTAATGAAATTCGGTGCATGAATCAGATACATAGTGCGAGATACACATTGTTCTCTAAAAATGAAAAAAATGAAGAAGAAACAAATCACAAAATTCAAAGAAACAAAATTTAATTTCTGAAAGAAGTTGTTCACTTTTGTTAAAAGAGTGATATCCTCCTTAAATTAAGCATTTTAGTTATCGTGCTTAAGTAAACATGTACCAATGGATATGCAAAGAATGTTGTAAATCCTTTTGAGTTGTTAATTAATCATCAATTACTCATTTAATTAAGAAAATAAGTTACACCCCTTTAATTCAAATTTATAAATCATGTATCTCGACTTTTAAAACTGACGGACACATGTATCTAGCGAGGATTGATACATGTATCCAAAGGCCGAAATATGGTATAGGAAGTAATATTTCAAACTATCGTGAATCCTAGTAATTATGACCTAAATTAGTGAAATTTATGTAGTCTGCACATATTGAATACGGTTTAAGAGTGACTTAAATTTTGGGAAAATTTTCAAAACAACAATATTTTAGTTTTTAATGGGACTCCTTAGCAATAGTTTCACTATTTATTTAAAATGAAAACATTTTAGCTTGTTAAGGGATGAGTTATGTATTTATTTTATTTTGATTAATTTGAAAGAATACAAATAATTAATAACAGAATAGAGAAAATCATGGAACAGAAAATCTCAAAAAGGAAAAAAAGATTTTAAATATAAATCAGTTATGTTTTGAAAAGAGCATATGTTGCCATTTTTTCTTTCGAGCATTTTTTTGTCTTGTTCTTAAGAATTCCAAAAAAAAAAATTGCAAAAAATAGTTTTGTCTTCCGAATCATTCAATTGATAATTTTCAAAGCTTCTTCGAGTTGAATTTGACATATTCTTGAAACGGAGGTTTTCAAAATTCACGACTATAATTTCATCAGTTCCATTGAATTCAAGGAGTTTCGACATCAGGTATTTTTGTTTTTGTCGATTATTTTATTTGCTTGGATGATATATTCGTATATCTCGACTATAATAGTGGGTTGATTTTTTTTTTTCTGATGAAATGGGTGAAATCTCTGTATGGTTTGATATTTTCAGCTTTTTTGGATGTTTTGTATCCAAATTATGATGTAGAACGATTAAAAGTGCGTGATTTTTTTTTGTTTCGTAGCTGTTTTCTTTTTATTTGAATGCATACAATATTTTTGTATCCCATTATGTTAGTGTAAACAGTAACAATATGAGATTTTCGTATCCCATTTTTTTGGATGTTTTGTATCCAAATTATGATGTAGAACGAATGAAATTGTTTTTTTTTAGTTTGGAAGCTGTTTTTTTAATGCATAGAGTATTTTGTATCCCATTAAGTTAATGTAAATAGCAACAATATAGGGATAGAGTCATAAAAATTATGTGATATACTGAACAGAGTACAACTAGGGATTAAAAATCATAAAGTAATTAAGAATTGTATACCAATATTTGTTGTCTTGTAGTAAGTTCTGGATACAATTAAATATTGGATTCAATTTGTTGTAGTTGAGCTAAAAGGTGAAATCTTTGTATGTAAATACAAATCAGTATGTATTGAGTGTGTGTTCGATATTTTTTCTTTTGAAGCTAGCTACCTGGAAGGCCATCCAATAAGTATCGTGGGCGTACATCGAGCTATATGGGAAGAAGAGCAAGAATTCTTGCAATACTTGTGGGTTTAAGGGGCACAATAGGCGTTCGTGTAGGAATGGACCGCGTATTGTTTAGTTAATGATTCTTGAATTTTATATCTTATATATTTACTTGTTTGGAATTCTTTGAATATGTGTTCAACCGAAATGTATTCATATTCATGTTATGAATTTATTTTATTTTTTGTGTATTTAACGTGTAATTACTTTAAAGTGTAATTGAAAAATTATATGAGTCACAAATTTAAATTATATAAAAAATGAAATACATTCTATATACCTAAAGATATGTATAACTTAAAATACAAAAAATTATTGGTATAGAATTATAATGAATACAACTCTTTTGGCATTCTAGTTTAAGAAAAAAAAAATACAAATTAGTAGTAAAATAAAATGATATTGAAAATACATTTTTGGTGAAAACATAAAACATAGAATAAGTTTTATTCAAACTAAATGGTATTTATATTTCTATATCCAGTCCTGTTATATTATTATTATTATTATTATTTCACTTTAAAATTGTAGTTACTATTTCTCTGGATCAGTTTATATTCCAAAAATCAGGATGTATATCAATATCAGTTTGTATTCCAAAAATTAGGATGTATTTCAATATCATTTTGTATTCCAAATGCCAAATGAATACCAAATAAGTTTGTATTTCCCTTCTTATAAAGTATTCATCACAATTTTATATATAATGTTTTCATCAAACTTATATTGCTTTAACAAAATAAAATACAAAAATATGTCTTCCTAATACATTTATGATTAAAACTGCAGAGAGTATACACATGAATACAAAAAATGTCTTACAAAAAAATCAAATACAAAAAATATCTTACTAATACAGATATGATTAAAATACAAAAAATGTCTTACTAATACAGTAATGAGGGAAATTCCCCAAAATTTGAGGGAAATTCTCCAAAACTTGGGTAATACACAAATCAAATGAGGGAAATTCTATTATTCGGTATACCTCTAGTAATTCTGATTGATTCAGTCATTGTAGACAATCAGATGCTTTCCCCAAAATCAAAAACCCTAAAAGTAAATTTCGATATTATCAAATATAAATGTATTAAAAATCAAACAAAATAAACATATAAATGATTTTTTAGATTCTACTAAATCTGAAAAATTAAAACAAAATCACAAAAAAAATTGTTTAAAAGACTAAAAATCTGAAATACATAAATATTTGATGAATATCTAAACAAAATCACAGAAAAATCAAAAAAATTGATTGAAAATACGTAATATATACAATCCGAAATATACACCATAACCGGTGATTTTAAAAAGCAAATAAAAAATAAATCTCAATAAATAATGGAAATTACCTTTGCCAATCGAGAAATTTCTTGAATTAATATAGAGATTTAGTTTAACAATCGAGAAATTTCTTGATTAAAATAGAGATTTTGTTGAACAATTTGTGAGAACCTTGAAGAAAGAGAAGCTGGAAAACGTAAAAGGTGGGGGAAAGAAAACCTGAAAGGTGGGGAAATAAGGGTAATGGGTAGTGGTGTGGTGTAATTGTTTTTTTTCTTTTTAAACGGTTAGTGGTTTATAATTTGATCCAATATAGGATTGTTTTAATAAATAAAAGAAATTTAAATAATAAAATCTGAATACAAATTATTTTCTAAAATATTGCCATTCTGACATTTTATATAAATATTTTAAAGTGTTGTTATTTTGACTAATTATGTTAGGTATTATGACTTGATTGCTAATTTTCCCTTAAATTTTATAAATAATGGGTTATCAATTTGGGAATAGATTGTTTAATTTTATATCGGATTTTGATAATGCATTAATTTGTTTTACACGTGCGACTATTTGCCAATAATATTACTTCACCCTGAATCACTTTGCCCCAAAACATTTGCTCTCATTCACTGCTATTTGATACGCTCAAATTACACCTTTC